CGCTTAGATTTGCATGCTGTAATCACTCAGATCCTGGTTGCTCTCTTCTAAACTAGCTCCTCATTTTTCTCACTTGTTTGTTGCTCCTTTTGCTTATGAGGTTGAAAGGACAGCATATAATGAAGGTAAAAGACCTCCCTGCTGGAAATGTCGAGGCTAGAGAGAAACCTTTTTCTGTAAGTGTGGGAGGAGAAACTCAGAATTCCTATCAGATGTGCCATCTTTCAGGGGCTATGCTGGTCTCTGGGGACAGCTACAAGCCACCAGAGGACCAGATCCACTTAGCTTGCCAAAGATAAAGGGCTGTCAACAGGAGTTGGATAAGCAGGAGGCGCCACAGGAAGAGTCCCAGCAGGGTTAGATACAGCGTGTGTAAGTGCGATGCCCTGGCAGGATGGAGGCTTTGAAGTTCCAGGCCATTCTATTAGGAAATACCTATGGCATCTGGGTAGTCACCAGCCTCCAGGTACCCAGGGCTGAACTGGTTGATCAGGGCAGCTGAGGCATCTGCTGTGTTGGAGAGCAGAGAGCTCTGGGTTGTTCTGGAGAGCTGTCTGTGGGAATGCCTTGCCCAGCTCCTGGGGGAAGGGCAGCCTGTGCATGGAGTATCAGGGCAATAGAAGCCCTGGTCTCCTGGTCGTTGGATAGATTGGAACCAGCAATTTGCCACGAGATAACCAACCTGAGTTTGAGGAAGCAGCAGGCTGAGGTTCCTTTCCCTCCTTGAGCATCGAATCCTCAGGAGGCCAAAGGGATCTTTAGTTCAATTACACAAAATAGGCTCTGGAGTAAGCCAAACTGCTTCTGAAATACTGATTGATGAGGTACTGGGATTTGGTTTCAGGGCCTTATGCTTGCTAGGCAGGTGCTCTACCTCTTTGTACAACATTCCCAGCCTTTTCTGCTTTAGTTTTCAGAGAGGGTCCTCTTTTTGTTTGGCTGGCTTCTGGCCATGACCCTTCTACTGTCATACAACACCACACACCAGCTTTTGGTTGAGACAAAAGTCTCAATAACTTTGCCTTGGCTGGCTTCAAACGGCAAACCTTCCATCTCCCTGTTCTGCGTAGCCAGGACAACAGGGGTGCACGACCACAGCCAACCCCTGACACTCATTTTTAAACTTCTGACAAAGAGCAAAGCACTCTGCCTTGCAGGTGAAACTTTGCCTTCCTGTCTGTCTCACATGGCTCCCAACTTCAGCCCCAGGAGGAAGTGGGAAGGTATCTAGCTGTCATTTAATGTTTGTGATTCCATAGCTCTGACTTTAGTTACCAATGAGGGGTTCTTGTCCCCCAAAAAAGGAAGTTTCAAGCCCAAAGGATCCCCAAAGCGCTCTCCCCTTTCTGCAAAGTGATCTAAGGCAGAGGAGGATTCTGAAGGCTTCCATAGAAGGGAGGTCCTGTCCAGTTCTCTGCCACCCACCCAAGGCCATCTTGTGGACAAATGAGGCAACATCCCCATGACACCGTTTCTAGGTTCAGGGAGTAGGAAGATGATGGCTTCCAGCCCTAGGGGGCAAACAGGATAACCAGCAACTATGAGTGCCTAGAATGCTGGCCTGTTGCTCTCCATCCCTGTAAGAACCCCATTTTTCAAAGACTTTTCCCTCTTTTATATTCTGTTTTACATTCTGTGTATTTGGCATGAAATGGGACCCACCATTCCCAGGTCCTTGCTTAGTCCTCTGGATCATGTTTCTGCGAGAAACACCTTTGCTTTGCTTGAAGCCCCAAAGGTGCTGATCTTCAGCCTTGGAACAAGGATGCCCCATTTTGCTCCACGGGAGTAGAAATGTGAAATCTGCTTGCTTACAAGGGTCAGCTCTCCAGGGCTCAAGGACTGCGATAGGTGTATGCTGGCTGGGGCCTATTAGTCACTATGAACATCGTCATCCTTCAAAGACTTTCCTGTCTCATCTATTTTTATTCTCTTTAGTTGTGCAAAGGGGTTTCATTTCAACATGGCACTTTGTGAGTACAGTGTATCTTGTTTATAATTTTGGAAATTGTGCAAAAACTTGAAGAAAATAAAAATCTTAGGGCTAGTGGTCTATAGCTTGGTGATAAAATTCTTGGCTTAGCTTGTGCAAGGCCCTGGGGTCCCATCCACAGGTCCTACTGAATCAGTCATAATCCTTCTAATCAGAGTAAACCACTACAAACACTTGAGGTATTACCCTGCATGTTTCCTTTGTCTCTTTAGGGGAGTTGAGCTCATAGTGAGTGCATCATGGAGTCAGCCCTTTCACGCACATTACACCAGTCATCTTGCTCACTGAAGTCTTTCAGGCATCTCTTCCCTGGCTGATCCACAGTCTCTTGTGTGCTGGACTCCAGTTTCCTTCCCCTGTCTTGTATTGCTGGGCATTTTCATCACTCCTGGCTTTTGTTTCTCCTTTTCTTTAGTAAATAATGCAGCCAGAAGCACCTTTGGGCAAGAAGCCCTGTTTCTATCTTAGCTTATTTCATTATGATGGATTCCTAGAGACCTCTTATCTTGTGTGTGAGAGGATCCTCACAACTCCTGTGTTAAATGTGGATGGTACCAAGCAGGCTGGGGAGGGAGGCATTTGCTGAGATGTAAGCAGGGGAAAGACGAGGAATCATAAAGCCCAGCCTTTATCCTTGGGCAACTCCCAAGATAGTGGGGGACCCCCCCCCAATACAGAAATAGCCCAAAGGCAGAGAACCCTGTCTCATGAGTCCATTATGGGTCTCAAGATGGACAGGAGCATACAATCACCTTGCATTTTCTTGAGTTTTCAACAAGATCTTTTCTCCCTTTTTTTTTTTTTTCTCCCTTTTTTTTTTTAAATGTGGGGAAGTACTAGGGCTTTTTCATTCACTTGAGCTACAGCTTCACTTATGGCTTTTCAGTGGTTAATTGGAAATAAGAAGCTTACAGACTTTACTACCCTGGCTGGCTTGGAATTAAGATCCTCAGATCTGAACCTCTTGAGTAACTAGGATTACAAGCATGAATGGCCCGAGTCTGGCTCATAATTCTTAAAGCACCCTTGATAAGGAGACGGCAGTCAGGGATCCTGGAGACAGAGGACAGAGACTATGTCTCCCAGGTGTGAGGCAGATCTTGACAGTCTTCTCTCCCTGCTCATTTTCCATCTCCTCTTCCTTCTTTCCTTCCATCTCCCCCATTTCTCCACCCTCTCTTCTCTCCACCCCTCTCCTTTATCATCCCGCCTCTCCAGTCTTCTTTTTCTTCTTGTTCTCTTCCCTGTCCTCATGCTGGTTCAGGGCCTCAAAGCAGATGCTCTTCATGCCTCCATTTCTGGCTTTTTGCTGGTTAAAGAATGTCTTAGATCTATCTGCTTGGAGATCCTCAGATCCTAACATCCTGAGTAGCTAGATTACAGAGGTGGGACACCAGTACTCAGAAAAATCTGTACCTTTTCTAAAGATTCCAGTTGGCTGGTCCAGCGGAGGTGTTTTTCTCATTCCCTGTCATTCTCGTTCTCTTTGATCCTTTGTTTGCTCTATATCAAACCCTACTTAGTCCATAAAGGGCTCTCAGAGAGGCTCTCTCTAATTTATCCACCCATTACAGACATCACAGGAGACTAATTCTTACATGGCCTGAGAGTCACTGGCCAAAAGCAACAAACCACCCTGAGGCAGAGGTTGCTGAGGAGCCAGACGCTCCTCCCATGTGATGAATACCTCATCTTTATGGGTAGAGAAAAAGCATTAAACAAGCATAATTGAAACCATGCCCGGCCTTCATCTGGAATGAAAAATAAACAAGCAAGATTAATGCTCCATATATAATCCAGGGGATGGGCAGGTTGGGGAGTAGGGATGAGAGGTTAGGCCTTCAGAGTTATCGTTAAGAAAATTTTCTCACAATCCAGACCCACCTGGTCTAGGGTTTGAGATTATACACACTCTGCTTCTACCCACATACCACGCTCCTTTCTATAGAGCATATGGTAAAATATATTTCATATCTCAACCTATAAGGCCTTGCACATAAGATCATCTTACTTAAATGTTTTATATATTTTATTTTCTTGCCTGGGCACTGTCCCTTAGCTTTAGTGATCAAGGTTGGCTGACACCCTACCATTTCAGCCCACTCTACTTCTGGCAGATAATTGGAGATTTCTCTGCTTGGGCTTGCTTCAAATCTATGATTCTTAGATCACACTCAGCCTCCTGAGTAGCTAGGATTACAAGTGTGAATCACAGGCACTCTGTATATACTTCCAATAAACACTGTATATGTGTGTATATATACATGTATTATACACATATACATGTATAATACATATGTACATGTGTATACAATATATTATATATACATACATATACACACATACATATACACACATATACATACAGCAAGTATTTTAAAATATCTTACATGAGCCATAATCCAGCCCTATTTCCTATACATTTATATAGAAATAGCAAAGGAAGTATTTTTTTTTTTTTGGTTCCGGTCGTGGGGCCTGAACTCTGGGCCTGGGCACTGTCCCTCAGCTCTTCAGATCAAGGCTAGCGCTTTACCACTTGAGCCACAGCACCACTTCCGGCTTTTTTCTTTTTGCTTATGTGGTGCTGAGAAATCGAACCCAGGGCCTCATGCATGCGAGGCAAGCGCTCTACCACTGAGCCACCTTCCCAGCCCCCAAAGGAAGTATTTTATATCATTAAATTATCCATTTATTTCCAAAATGTGGGGCTATATTAATATACCTAAGGAAACCTACTTAAATCAATACCAACGGCTTAATAATGAATTCAATTTGCATATTTAAAGACCACCAAAATGTGTGAGATGTATACAGACAGACATATGTGCATACACACACACATACATCGGATGGGCGGATGTATATCAAGTATTAGAGGGCGGGAAATGGTTCCCAACCTAGTAGCATCCAGCGGGGTTGCGGCTGCGCCCGGGCGGCCACAGCGCCCCCTGCCGCCCGCTCCCGGCACGCCGCACTCACCTGCTGCTCTCGCTCCCGCCCGCAGGTATTGGCAAGAACGTCATCTGCGACCGCACGGCCACCCCGCTGGACGCCTTCCGCATGATGTCGGCGGCCCACTACTACCCCAAGCTCATGAGCATCATGGGCAACGTGCTGCGCTTCCTGCCCGCCTTCGTGCGCATGAAGCAGCTGATCGAGGAGGGCTACGTGGGCGAGCTGCTGGTGTGCGAGGTGCAGGTGCACAGCGGCAGCCTGCTGGGCAAGAAGTACAACTGGAGCTGCGACGACCTGATGGGCGGCGGCGGCCTGCACTCGGTGGGCACCTACATCATCGACCTGCTCACCTTCCTCACCGGCCAGAAGGCCGTCAAGGTCCACGGGCTGCTCAAGACCTTCGTCAAGCAGACGGACCACATCAAGGGCATCCGCCAGATCACCAGCGACGACTTCTGCACCTTCCAGATGGTGCTGGAGGGCGGCGTGTGCTGCACGGTCACGCTCAACTTCAATGTGCCCGGGGAGTTCAAGCAGGACGTGACGGTGGTGGGCTCGGCGGGGCGCCTGCTGGCCGTGGGCACCGACCTGTACGGGCAGCGCAACAGCGCGCCGGCGCAGGAGCTGCTGCTCCAGGACGCCACGTCGGTGAGCAACTCCCGGCTGCCCGAGAAGGCCTTCAGCGACATCCCCTCGCCCTACCTGCTGGGCACCATGAAGATGATGCAGGCCGTGCGGCAGGCCTTCCAGGACCAGGACGATCGGCGCACGTGGGACGGGCGGCCCCTCACCATGGCCGCCACCTTCGATGACTGCCTGTATGCGCTGTGCGTGGTGGACACCATCAAGAGGTCCAGCCAGACGGGCGAGTGGCAGAACATTGCGATCATGACTGAGGAGCCGGAGCTGAGCCCTGCCTATCTCATCAGCGAGGCCATGCGCCGCAGCAGGATGTCGCTCTACTGTTAGACCTTGTGGTGGGGAGGCCGGGGGGGGGTGGGGGGGGGGAAGGAATCAAGCCTTCTGCCAGGGGGCCCCCATGAGGGGATGTGTATAGGGAAGGAGGAGGGGGTAGCCCGAAAGGTGAACCCCAGAGAAAAGATCCCAGTCAAGAGTGTGGGTGAGCCAGCTGGTGGTGACTCAAGCCTGTAATCCTAGCTACTCCAGAGATGGCCCTTTGAGGATCATTTAGATCAGGGGTTCAAAGCAGGGAAGGTCCTTGAGATTCTTATCTCCATCAAAACACCTGGAAGAGGAGCTGTGGCTAGAGCACCAGCCTTGAGTGAAAAAAAACCAGAAACAAAAAACCTAAATGACAGCACTCGGGCCCAGAGCTTAAGTCCCAGAATCCTCACACACAAAAAATGGGGTTGGGCTGAGTTCAGGGCCTAGGAGTATTAGTTCTCCCCTCCCCCTCCCTCCATACTGGGCTTCGCATGAGAGGAAGCAGGTTTAACACCCTCTCCTTTTCTGGGCTTTTACTGTGAGAAGCCAGGAGGGGCTGGATTCCCTCCCTACCTCATCCACCCACACATCGTAGCCTCCCTTCCCTTGCTAGCCCAATAGCCCTACAAGGTCAAGGCTCTGTGTCAGACAGCAGGCTCACTGGAAGCTAGCTTCCCTCCACACACACCCCCTCCCAGACACTTTTCCTCCCATGCCCACATAAATTTGTTAGTCTAGGGAGAGCTGGGGGGGGGGGGGGGGGATTGAACTAGTGACAAAGTTTGAGTTCCAGAAAGCAAATTTTTGTTCTACTTGAAGTGTCTGCAGGGAAAAAAAAAATACTTAGTTGCAGAGTGTACAGCTTCCTGGATGGTCTTCCTCTAGGAACCAAGGCTGTGTATAACCAGCTCCTAGCCCTTTACCTGGTGCCTTAGGGGAATGTTACTAATGGCAAAGGAAGAGAGCAAACACACTTCATCAAAATAGGTGTGAAAGATAAGCTGTCCCTCTGGGATTGTCAAAAACAGGAGCCACCCCAGAGGAAGGGAATATGGAGCATAGCAGAGGCCCCACGCTGAAGTGTCAAGGTGGCCCTGGCCCATGCTTCAGGCAGCCCTGGGGACACCTCCTCCCCCCATTCAGTATGGACTTGACTGCAGAGTTCTGTGCTGTCCTCCAGGACTGAGGGACAGAGCATGCTCCTGAACAGAAGGGAAAATGAGTCCAGCCTCCGAGTTGCTTTGGACTCTAACATCCCCACTCTTACCCAGCTAGGGAAGGCTGTTCAGGAATCTCAGCCAGAAGCCTCTTTCCTTAAGACAAATAGTTAAGGCTCCTTCCCTCATATTGGTCATGACTCTTGGGATTCTGACACCTGAAAGTTTTTAAGTATTTAGCAAAACAAAAGGATAATAAACACATTTTAGTATCATGAGCATGAGTTCAGAGCCCTCTGAACTCCCTCTGAGAGGAAGGTGGACAGCAGAGGAGGCAGATGTAGAAAACATCTTTGGCTGGCTCCCTGTCTGTCTTGCCTTTTTACTCTATTTTCAGAGCTTACATTATGGAGACAGCTAACCATAAGCTCAGCATTGACTGAACCAAAAGGGAAAAAGCCAGCCACATGCAGATATAGACACACATTTGTAAAGGCTGCCATCAAATACCACTTAAATCATTTTGAAATATTCAAGTCTGCTCTCGAAAGAAAGACTAAGTGTGTTTTGAAAATGGGGAAATTATCTTTGCTCCCCACCCTTTCAGCTCCCATAAGGCATTTACTTGCAAAGCTGGAGGTAGACTATTCCTGGTGAATCTAGCTTTAATCACAGACTCCCTGAAGTCAAACCGGTGTTTTTGGCCTGCAACTGAGATTTAACATTTTCAAGTATCTGGCGGTAGATAAGGAAGAGCCCATCCCCCAGTCTCAGAGAAGGAAACATGAAAATAGTCCAGCAGTCAGGCATGTCCTCCATTGTTCAGCCTGGAGCAGTACTCTCAAGGCCCTGGCTAGAACTGCAGCCATGGAAGGTCCAAACACCAGGGGTGTGATGGTGGACATTTTCCTAGTATAAAGAAGTAGGAACTGATTTGCTGAAAATCACACTACTTCCTGTGTCCTATATGGGCCCTATTGGCTGACACACTTCATGGATAGCATTCCACATTTATAGCTTATCCAGTTCAAAACTGGAGATTTGATAGACTGGACATCTTCCAATACTAGTTTGTGCAGAGGGCCGGTGGTAGACTGCTTGGATTCCCAGTCTCTTTTCCTCTGGGAAAGAAGCTTTTGTGGAAACTGAGGGTTTTTTTCCCCCTAGCAATCCCAAAAGGTTGTCATGAAGAATGAAGGGATAGAAAACTAGAAGACTCCATGGGGCTCACTTTTCTAAGTTATTTCTAATGTATTCTTGGAGTCTGATTTTTATATTTCTATATTTAACCATGATACTTGAGAGTTTATTTTTCCTTCCAAAGGCCTCTGAGTTCTGTGATAAATATTCAGGATCGAAAACAAAAAAAAAAATGCATTTGAGGCCAGGGGGATATAGGAAGAGTATATATTCTTTAAAGAAGCATGGGAAACTACCTTAGTAAGTATACTCAAACTTTACTGAAATGCATGTTGTAGGTAGATGTAGGCACAAGAGGTAGACAAGACCTAGGTAGCGTATTGCTTAACTATTAAGAGACTTCTTGAGTGGGCTTCTACCCTTGGCTAAGCATGCACTGTGAAGCTGAGATCTCAAGTTACCAGCCAGATCTTATAGGAAGGACGTTCATTCAGCCTAGTACCCTCACAGCTGGGTACTATCTGCTGACTGACCAAGGACCAAGTCCCAGCATTAATCCAGCCCCTTCCTCCCATGATCTATTTCAAAGGCCTAATGTAACCGACCTGGCACATTGAGGACTTCCCATTCGGTTTACCCTTGCATATCTTTCCCCCCCAGCATTGTGTGGATGCCACTGGTTGTCTGTCCTAAAGTCCAGGTTCTCAGAAAGAATGTAGGTCAGGGTCTTACCAGGTATCCACAGGGAAAAATCCTGGTTGTTTGGAAAGTTTAGTTTTTTCTGGAGAACCTGTGGCGACCATCAGTTTCTTTAAGACTTCTCCCCTCTATGGGAAGATTACATTGTTGCATACTCAATACACCTGAGTTTCCTAGAAGCAGATACCATGTCCTTTGTTGCCTGCACACACTCTCGGGGCCATCTTGGCTCATTCTAGGACTTATCCACTGGGTGCAGGGGATTTAAGTACAATTGCTTGCTTAAACCATAAAAGAACACCTGGTAATAATTGGGTTTGCTCATTCCCTTTTATACACAAGAAAGTTGCTTGCCCAAAGTCATCCATCTAGTAAGCAAAAGTGGGCTCCGTTGAATCACAAACCTCCAAACTTTGTGCTTATGCTCTTCCTGCCCTACAGAAAAAGCCTTCCCTATCCAGCCCTGTGGGGGGAGCCATCAGTTCCCCACGAAGCAACTATGTGTTGAAAAGACTGAGACCCACAGCTCCACTCAACCACAGACACCACAGTTCCTGGTGAACACGACGCCCTATTTGATGTTCATCCAGGAAGTCATTAGTGCTACAAATAGAAGTAGTACATTTTCCTTCCCCTTCCAAATAGAAATAACACTCAGCTTCTTTTCAAATGGAATTCCTAAGTTGGGTTTTGATTGTAGGTGAGGCAGTTACCCTCAGAGTTGGGGATTTCCAAAATGTGGCTGGCCAACTATTAGCTGGCCTTGGAACTTGCTTGGAGTGGGTGGCTGGGCCGGGAAGGAGGGATTGAGGACAATATAGTAATTTGTCTTTCTCAGGGAGTGGGCTTTTACGGTTCATTTGTTAGTGACGTGGACTTGAGCTGTGCATTTGTGCTGTCCTGCTCTCCTCTGCATTCCATCTCATGGCTGCAGCTTTTGAATTTGACCTGGGATGATAAGCTAGGTTTCTGATCTCTTTTACTGTGGTGGATATAGGAGATGAAATCAGTTATTGATATTCTTGGGCAGAGAGTCAATCCAAAGTGACTTCAGAGTATAAGATAGTCAAATCCTTTCCTCTTATATCCCAGAGAGGACAAGTGACATAGCTCAGGCTATGCCATCTGGTTTTCTGATTCTAAAATCTTACACTGCCTCACTCAGCATGAATTGAAATTAGAATCTAGACCTAAATTGGATCCTCTGAGCTGTGGCCAAGTAATATTTTTTAAAGATGAACTCAATTATGTCTTGAATGTACTTAGAAAACTAGTTGTTTATTTTTTTTCCACATTATAACTATAATGTGAACAATGGTCTCTTTGTTGTCTTATGTAGCAAGGATGTGAGACATGAATTCAGGTTTCCATCTTTGGAATTTGCTACGGTCTACTCTACTTCAATCCCTCTCCCTACTCCATGGCTCCAACAGGACTTAGGTTTCAGCCTCTGACTCCACCCACTGCCTACTTTCTTTAGCCATCAAGAGCCCTAGAGTTTGCTGGGTAGAAGCCATGCCATTGGAGAGCTGGTTGGAAAAACATCAACGAGCAAGAATCCCATTATTTCACTTCCCTTTGGGGAGAGGGAGGAAGGCAATGAAAGAAAAGTTGTGTAAGTCTGCAGTGTGGTTCCACAGTGTTTATTGGCAGTGGAAATGCCATGCTGCTTTCCTACCCTGGGCAGAGGAACCAGCAGAGAGCTCTGAGTATTAGGGGATAGTCCAGATGGGCTGGAGCTGCTGGGATGTCTCTCCTGCAGAGAAAAGACCACCTGTGCTGCTCTGAAAGCGATGAGTCCAACAACGATGGGAGTCTGGCTGGGAAGCAGCACTGTGGGAATAGACAATAATAGTCTACTGGCCCTTTTCTCCCCTGCATCCGAGTCCTTATTTGCTGGGGCCCTTAAGAGCAGCTATCAAAGCATCCGGCTCTCTCTCCTAGCTCCTGAAGTATTGCACTACTGAATACTCTTGAATCTGCTGCAGCCCTTCCTGTTTACACCAGCAGTGAATAGAGCGATAAAAAGAACATGTC